CAAGTTTGATGTTTTGATGCTGATGGTGGCTCAGAAGTTGCTTTTTCCCCCCCTTCTTACTGCTAAGTTGATATCAAGTTAGCGTGATGCTAATTTTGAAGCACTGGTGAAATGGGCTTCGGACTATGTGACTGGTTTTATTTTGAGTGTCCTGATGACTAGTAATGAACAGCTAGGTGGAGAGATAAGCAGGGGGTTGGTCTTGAGGAAAGTAAGTAAAAAACAAAAAACAAGAAATTAGCATGGGTTGACACGAGTTTGAGAGATATCTTGTAAGATGCCCAACAAAAAATGACCAGCAAGTGTATCACTTCAGAGCCAGTGTGAAGCAAAGTAAGTTTGAATATAGTCAGCTGGAATTTAGAGATCCCAATTGAAAATAGAATAGTGTGACTTCCTTTTCACAGAGCCCACTACAACAAAGAAATAAGGCCCATTTTGATTTTTGTCCTTTGTTAACACCACAAAGTCCCTGACAATCAACAGAAGTGGATGCAGGGGAAGAAAAGAAAAAACTTCATCTAGCACATTCCCTTCGCTTCAGATGGACTTTTACTATAAATCATAGAGGTAGTGTCTGTCACATTTAAACCTTTCAAAGCTACGTTGGACATTAATATTAATGTTACATGTGCTAAAGGCACTAACACAGCATGTAACATTTTACAAAAGGAAAAGTTTAACTGATTTGATCGAATGAGTGTCAAAAATTTTAATAAAAGTATGTAAATGTACAAAAAGGTATAGGCCAGGTGCAGACACTTTAAAGATAAAGACACATTAAATCATTTAAGGCAATGGCGGGAGGGTCCTTTTAAAATCTGTCCGGGAGGCAGACAGGAAGACTGGCTCGGAAACAAACTCATTATTCTCTTTCCTTTCTACATTATCTCCAAAATACACAGAAAGAGAACTGTTTTCATATCGCACAATGTCATGAAACCGGCAACCAGCTTCAAAGCAGGACCAGCCACACTGTTCAGGTCGAGATTTAATGGTAGTTTTCTTTGACATGTTTTAGTTACTGACATGCAATAACACATAAATGTACATTGATCCAAAGAATTACAACACCCTCATCATCAGTATGATCGCTTTAGTTTACTCTTTATGGCTGAGTTGCCGTTTCAGTTAAGTGAAGCGTAATATGTCGAAATGAGGCAAAAATAAGGGCCGGAGGTTATTTATGCTGACATACACAATTACCCTGGGAATCGCACCAGGAATAGGTTTCCAGTAAGAGAGAGGGCTTTAAGTGTAATTAGTCAACATGACTGCGGTGTGATTAATTAAAGGGCCTGTAAAAGGAAGGGAAATACAAATAGAAAAGGTCAAAGACTACAAGTATTACATAACAAGAATGAGAAAGAGGGCTTAAGAAGCGGTTTGTGAGGAGCAGTGTCATAGAAACCCGAATACACATCTGTAAGTTGGAAAAAAACAAACTCTCACTACAACAAGGAAAACACAAACACAGCTGCCGCCACTTCCCCTGAAACAAAAGCTGCTAAGCAACACACACACACACACACGCACACACACAGACACGCACACAGAGCTAGGAGAACAACCATCCAGCGGAGAGGACGGGTCACATCAGTCAAAGCCCACACATGTCTGCCGTCTGGGCTCTTTGGACATCACAAACCCAAAGAGTCCAGGGCTGACCGAGCGTCAGCTGTTTGGCCTCTCAACCCAAAAAAAGGGAGCAGTTTCCCCTACATGGAATTTATCCTGGTGCACCGTCACGGGAAAAATAAAAGCCGCCACACCTTCAGAATAACGTTTTTTTTTCTTCATATATATCTATTTGCGCCAGGCAGCTCCCTCCTGCTTGTGAAGCTGCTACAGCCGTGAGCGGCTCGCAGGAAAACTCCAGGCGACCATCTTTGCTGCACTTGCCAAGTCTTAAAAAGAGAATCCTGACGCCGAGAAACTGAGCCCCATTTAAAGCAGGTCCAGGATTTTGGGGGAAAAAAAAACTTGGCTTTCAGTGTCCCGTCAGCGTTTCCTGTATGATATTTTTTTTAATCATGGTGGTGGGATGTCCATAAATTATGCCTCCAGTGACACCACCATTATGGCCAATTCAAACTGAGTGTGTTTTCCTCAGCTACCTTTATTTCGCCCCCTTTACTCCCAACAGTTTCAATTAAATCACAATGAATGAAGAATGCATAAAATGTTTGTGAATGAATGCCAAATAATACCGTAAACAATTTTTTTATTTAAAGATTTTTCTGATTGAGGACTTCTAAAGTCGACTTATGCATCCAAAAATTTAGATTAGCATTTTAAAATCATCCCAATCGTATTCAAACCAAAGGGATAAAGTCTGTGTTCCACTGTGATAACAGTTCACTCATATGCAGGATTTAATACAGGATCGATTTAATGATGATAAGAAAACAGAATAAATAGTGTTGGTTGCAGATGTGTGATAATAGGACAGGAAAGAGGAAGAAGAATTTTCCTACAGAGGTTTGAACAAATTAATGAATTTGTGACAATCTTCAATATGAAAGGAAATTCTTAATATATTTCTTCTGTTTATACATCCTTTATGATGTGGCTCAGGAGGGGAAGAGATCAGCCACGAGTAGGGAAAGTGTCCCCGGGTAAAATACTGAACCCCCTCACAGCTCCCTATTGTGAAAAATATAGACCAATAAAGAGCGTTAACTTATAGTTAATGTTTTAAAGTATTTCTGATATAAAATTTGATTAAAAAGCCTTGGAGTGTTCATAGCTGATTGAATGGAAATCTCAAAATGTTTAAGTTAAATCTGAATAAATATGATCTCCTGGTGCTATTTGTCTGTAGTAATGCATTTACCTGCATCATTAAGATGATTCGAAGCGGGACTGCACAAAAAGCCCACAGTCCAACATGCATAAAGTTGTTACCAGTGTCTGACTCATGAAATCAAACAGCCTTTACCTTCTAATGCAATGTAATGACTGCTCTTTTTACATATTTTCACACGGAGCTGTTTTCATTCACTAATCATACATCTAAGATGACTCCCAAGAGTAATTTGTACTGATTTCAATAGTTTTCTTGCAAAAGTGTCAAATGTTCTCTGTTATGTATTGTGCTAAAACGACATTCCGCATTGCTTATTTTTCTGATACAATTAATGAAATCACTGAACACCAACTCTTGACACATAAACATTCTGCGTGTATCCGGGCCAGAAACTGTAATTACACATTAAATTGTTAACTGGCAAAGGCTGGAGCTGTTATTTAATAACAAAGAGTTCATTTATTTGTCAGACATTTGCCACCGTTACAGTCAAATCTTTACAGTACAGAGACTTGGAGATGTGTCAGTAACATCCAAAGAGGACATTTGTCTAAAGACTGGGGCAAACCCCTCTGTTTCAGTCTAATTCTATGTTATGCTGGGATGAATAATCTAAAATGAAACTGTCAGAGTGGTGCCAAGGGAATGTGTTTTCATTAGCTGATTAGCACACTGGGCAGAATCCTCCGTAAATCCACCAGTTACTCTCAAAGCAGACCTATTTATGTACAAGTTTGATCATTTTTAAAGCAGCGTATAGTTCTTGAGGATATTATGACAAATAACGCCCAGCAGCATCCCGCCCAGTGAGGATGAAGTCATCCAAACAAGCAAAACTCAATTAAAAGGAAGCTGTCGCAGAATGTTAGGGACCTATAACAACCTGATCACACTGAAAATGCGTAACAGCAAACCTAAAATCGGGAGGAAGTACGTCTTCAACCAAGAAACAACAATCTCCGTTAATTTCCAAACAGCTTACAAGCAGCAAATAAAACTTTTAGGCACCCACCTTTTAAACACGAAAGCAAACACTAGCATCCAAGGAAACGTCATGTATCGTTAGTCGGAGGTGTTGTTCACTGGTAACAGTGCGGCTAGCTCCCACATTACACGTTTATACACTCGGGTATCAGTTAGCTTTAGCTGTCAGGATGGCCAGCTTCTTGACCTTAGCTTGACAACATGCTAGCAAGCTAAGTCGGCTGAAGTCTGTTTAAATTCAAATAAAACACCGCTCGGTTAAATGTCATTACACTTAAAAACTCCAGCCTCCTTAATAAGGAATCTGACCATCAGTGTGGGACGAAAAATAACGGCGCTAGACAGACTCGCCCTGCCGTTTGGGTAGCCTTTACATGCTAACGCTAGCTGGCTAACTACACGGTTTGACGTTACGCAGTCTCTCCGGTTTGATTGCACCAAGCTGTCACAATAACAACACACCTTCAGGAGCACCGAGTGGACGGCGGGAGGATTGGCGGAGGTCACTGCGAGCGTGCTTCAGAGACCGAGTTGAATGGATGTCGGTTCGCGAATTAAAACTCATGAACGGATGAGAAAAACATCCAAGAGCCTAAAGTCACTACAGTGGAGCTAGCGCAGCCTGTTTGGATTTTACAGGCATTAACGTGACGGCAGCTCTTTGGCGCCATCTACAGCCCTCAATTATGGCTGCAGCATTAATCTTCCTCATCCCAAACGCTCACCTCATTTTACCCTTTAGGCCTCATAAAACTGAAGATAAACTTGGTGTAACCCTTAGAGGTTTCATGAAAATTAAACACAACATTTCAGATGATGATAAAAACATATCCCAGCCAAGTTCCCAACGGTTAGATGTTGAACTCACAAAAAAAGAAAATAAATAGAATGTGCACTTTTAGTGAAGTATAGTGTTGAAAACAAGTAAACAAAAAAAAATCTTACAAAACAAAAATTACAAATGGAAAAACACACAAGGAAACAAATGTACAGTGGTTTTATAATATAATGCGGTCAATGTGAAAGTGAGAGTTTTATTTGACATTTTGCGGCTTGGCTTTGAACATGTCCGAGTAACATAGAGGCACCACCATGTAATTTAAAAGTCTAAAACAAAACATTTGATTGGTTGCCAATTTCACATCGTCGCTGATTGGCTAACATTTCAGCCAATCGGTTGTGCCGTTGTTGGTTGTTGCCAGCAACGACCAATACAGCTTACTATTCAGGAACTGGTGCGTGTCTGACTGAGAGTCGGGGTGCCACTTAAACGACCAAGTTATGGACTAATCGTATATTTTTCATTTTTTAAGGCTGCTGATAGAAATACGGAAACCTCGGTTTATAGTTTAAGCCGTCATGAACCTCGGGTAAGTCCACTGTTGAACAATAACAGTAGCTAGCTAGGCTAAAGCGAACGTGTCGCAGTGAAATGCACAAGGGATTTTCTTGCCTTGTTTCTCGCTTATTGCAAACAAATGCACGTCAGTGAACGTTCATGCAGTAAAACCCCCTATTTGTTAAGATGGACATTGTGGTCCAGGTTTGGATTGCATCATTCTTTAATAGTTTAGTTTTGTATCAGAGTGTAACAATAATTTTACTCCCTTAATTATCTTCTTTGTGCTGATCTTGGACTGCTAACCCTTAATTCTGGTTTAGGGTCTATTTGATTAAATCTGCTCTCTGGACCAAACCCCTCATGTTTGTGTCAAGTGGATTTTGAATTAAACTGCCAGGAAGCTATTGGTTGGAATAAACAAATTCTGGCTAGTCACATACTATAAAGAGCAAAAATAAAATGTTGATTTAATCTTATTTTTGGGCTCTAATCCTTCTGTTTGTGGACAGGGATGGGCTGCTGTTTGAGCTTGAAAATGGAAAACCCAGAGTGATTTTGCTTAGCCATGGTAAGCTCTATTCAACCTTTCTTACTTGTGTTTTAATATATGGTTTGGCTTTATATTTACTCTTCTTGTAATATTGATATTATATTGACTGATTAGTCTTCTGATTAAGATGACTTGGTTTGTTGTTCTTCATCGAGGTGAATGTCAGAATAGTTTGATAACTTTCCTTTTGTATAAAACGGAGTTTAACTATTGATGCATTGTTTTTTTTGTTTGTGATGATAAAAGCTGTGATCAGGTCATTGAATAGTGAGAAGCGTTTTTTGATTGATCAAACTGAGCTTTTTGTTGCTTATTTCTTTTGTAGGTGTCGATAAATATCCAGCAAAGGTAGGAGTCATCCTTCCACCCTTCTACCCCAAGCCTCCTGGACTTACCTGCTAAAGTTTAAGCCATGCTGAACTGCTGCAATGTGTTCCCATTAGCTGTCCATAAGATCCAGACCTGCGAACATCCTGAGCTCCAGGCAGCCGTCCTCTGTGGAGGAGGTACAGAAAGAGGAGCGTCCATCTCGGCCACTGACGGGGAGGAACAGGGAGGCCAGGTGTAAGGCAGCGGTTCCCACTCATTCCTTAACCAACAACATCAACACCGCTGCCACTGATGGGAAGAGCACCACCTTAACTTCTTCCAAGAAACATTTTAAAGATGGGTGTGTCAAAGCCGGGGCCAAGGTAAGCGCTGGACAAGGAGACGCATATCTATTAAAACGATTTCATTAGTTTATGGCCTGGTTGTGACCCTTTACCATGTTATGTGTTTGTATATGGGCATACAAGGCGAAGTCAAATAAGCACAAACTCAGAGCTGACGTGAAAGCAGGAGAGAGTCAGAACGATGGGCATCGAGGTGTTGGAAATGCAGTTTTTAAGGACGCACAGGGCAGTGGAGAAACAGGGACGAAGGACAGTGTGGTCTGTCTGACCAACAAGCAGCTGCAGCAGATCCTCAGCGCTGTGCACACCCCCAGCAGCACCCAGCACTCACCCGAGGACCAGGATGCACCAGGTGAGCGTGAAAATGTAGCTGCTAGTCTGACAGAAGCAGGGCTGAAGTTGTCAAGATCCAAAATATGAATAAATACAAACATATAATATTGTACCCAAAAAGAATTAAGCAAATCATTTGACTAAATCTATTTTCTGCTTGTCATTTATCTTACATCCATTTTATTTGTCATTTGTTTATATTTTGTATAATTCAAATCTTATAGTAGGTATCTTACTTTATCATTAGTTTTTCTTTTTTTTAAATACATTTTAGACTCAAGTAGATTTCATTAATAGATGTTTTTATTCCATCTGTTTGATTTTACATTTTGTAATTTCCCACACACACTTATTCTCATATTTTCTCTTTACATTTCTCTGGCCCCATTTGTACATTTTTGTAGCATGAATTATAATTAACATTCTTATTTTAGTAGCCTTTGGTATTTTATGACATTATCAGTTAAATAGATTTAACCAAACCATGAAATGCTAAATATGCAGAAAGCTCAAAATAGCAAACTCTTTGCAACTGTTTTTGTTAGGAAGTCAAACTGAGCCAAAGTCTGGCTCCCCTGTGGATCAAGGAACAGAAACAAAGGCAGAAGATGGAGAAAGAGAGGAAATAAAGGAAGGAGGAGAAAGTGATACTAGAAGCTCACAAGAAAAAGAAAGCAGGTAAATAAATGTCGGATTTCCTCTGAATGTACCTTCACAAAGAGGGCAGTGACAAATCCCCACAGTGAATCATTTGTCTGTTAGTGTCAGTCAGCAGACTTTAAGTCTGAACCTGAAAAAAGTGGATGTTTGTGCTACTTTCAGGCTGTCTGGTAGTCTGTTCAGCTGGCTGGAGGGCCGAGAGTCAGACAGCAGGGCGGCCGTCGACGCCAGGAAGGCTGAGTGGAGGAGAGAGCTTGGTACGCAGATGCAAACACACACGTATTTTATTGATCTCTGTTTCAAGTTTTATAAGGCGGAAAGGCAAAGAGACAAACATCACATCAACTTTTGCTTTAGTTCACCAGAACAAAGGAAACCTACCAAGAAAATACTAAAACTGTCTTTAAATGAGTAAAGGTTGTCCTCTAATGACAGTGAAGTGAGGAAGTGCATGAAGAAAAAAAAGAGCAGAAAGACGGCAGAAAAAAAGATGCAACGGCAGAAAAAGACTTTGGACCCTGATATTGTTGCGCTGGAAAGGGGACAGTTGAAGGCTGGAAAATGTGACCTGCTGAACGGTATCTGCAGCTCTGCCAAAGCCACAGATGGCAGGCTCATAATTTGGCTCTGGCAGCATGAATCCACGGCGCCGCGCAGACTTCTGCCTCTGATGTAACGTGCACTGAATGTTTTCTTGGCTCTCCAAAGACATATTTTACCAGTCAGTCACGTCCTGCAACAGCCAGACTTGTGCATCACTTTGTGGCCAAAATACACAACATATACAGTCAAAATTTGTACAAGTCATTCACGCATTTAAAAGCCGTCCAGTGGTTGGAGTTACATCTGTAAACCCTAGCTGGTTGATGGGTAACAGAAAGAGAAAAAAAACAGATACGATACAGTCATAGGGACAATAACAAACAATAGCATATAGCTCAGCAAAATCACAGAAACAGACAAAGAATTATTAAACAAAACATGGGCTTTAAAGGCTGTAGAGGTAAAAATTCATCCCAGATTTGCTTCTGCTTTAGATGTTGTTTAAGATGAGCCTTAAACATATAACAAGCTCGAGACACTGAAAGAGGTAAACTGTTTTGACGGGCTTTCGCTGACTGTACAGAAAAGTTTGAACGATATTTCCTGAAGATTTGGTATGTAAACAGGATAAGAATCATCTGTTAGTTTAAGGTTATGCTAAAGACTTTTGAAAAACACCCTCTATCCTTATTAAGCTGGTTTTATGCACTCGTAAAACTTTACCCACATGGCTCTCTCTTTTTCATATCCAATGAGCCCTCAAGGGCTGGATTCGCACATATCTGCCTTAAAGTGTTAAGTGTGTCGAAAAGGCATATTGAAAGGCATCTTTCCAGATTTTTGGGTCAGTCACTGCTGGCCATTGGACTCAACGAGCTTTCTGAGCATTAAAAACCAACCTTTAGAAATGCTGGCTCAGAAAAGCTGCCGATTTCATTCACAGGAAGTCACGAGACTTTCAAAGACATTTTCGAACTTTTGTTGCCTGCAAATGATTGAAAAACAGCGAGTCTGTTACATGTTGTGACCAGTTTTTCTTATCTGTTTGGTTTCAGACGAGCAGGTTGCACTGAAGCAGCGTTCAGCTCCTGGAAAACTACAAGTATGGAGCTCATTTTACTCTCAAGTTGCATGTTTTTTTTTAATGCTGATGATATTTAGTGCTGTCAACTGATGAGTTTTTTTTTTTTAACGTGGCAGAGACCAGTCAGTACCCCAGAAATAACAGCCCCTGTCACTAAGTGTTCATTAATCTGTGTTTCAGGCTTCGGAGTATGCAGAGAGCGTGTTATCAGCCCAGAGCTCAGTCAGCCACAGAGAGCAGCACGCAGCCATCAGATCCAGCCTCAGGCTCGGGGTAAATCTGACTCGCTGACCAAAGCTTTTCTCCAGCTGTCGGTCCCCCTTTTGGGCTGGTTCTCAACCCGCAGCCCCTCCCGATGAAACCGTGGGATGTTTGTTTGATCACTTTACAATTTTCCAGCTCAGTTGAGGAGGATTCATGGCATCTTTCGAATAATTTCCAAGGAGATATGAATTTTTTTTTTTACAGAATTGATAAAAATATTGTGCATTTACAGAGAACATAGTGCCAGATCCCAAACAAATACCATTAAAAAGCACTTTGAAAAGCAAATGACAACCCAATTTATTCAAATAACAAACAGAAGCCATACAAATAAAATAAATTACATTTCAATCTGGTCCAATACAGACAGATGAGGAAAAAAAATCCAGTTTCCGTTTTAGATTCAGCCCCCCCTCAGCATCCTGAGACTCTAGCAGCCCTCTAGCAGCTTCTGTTTAACAGTGCAGATCGAAATTGAATGTATTTTATCTGCACCCTTCACTTTTTATTCATCTAATTTTTCTAATTGTTGATTCTTTTTCTTTTAGTTTTTCTGCTTTTAAATTCTTTGTAAAGCACTTTGAATTGTCTTGTACACAAAATCTGCTAAACTTGCCTTGCCTAATGTGACAGTGGGACATTCATCTGTTTTACTGTCGATGCGACACACTTGTTGTGATTCCCACAATCGGCACATTACGTTCAGGAGTGGATCGACCGGTTCCCACAGGTTTTCAAATACTCCTCCGGATATTCATAAAAACGATTTATTGATGACGTGCTGATAAAGCATGTTTTCTCCGTAGGAGATCACGCCCATGGAGGAGCTGCTGAGCACTGAGAGGAAGGAGGCGCAGCGGAGGCGCTGGCTGGAGGAGCTGGACCGCCAGAGGCTGGAGGCGGCCGAGCGCAGGAAGGAGGAGAGACGGCTGCAGAGCCAGGTGGGGAACAGCACAGCGGGCAGGCCGGGGGGGGGGGGGGGGGCCCGTTCCCGTGTGTGACCTGCTGTTGGCCGGCAGACGGAGGACCACGAGCGCTGGGCCACGCACTTCGACTCTCTGCAGAGGAGGCCTCTCCTCCCGCCCCCCCCGCTCTGCGGGCCCGAGCGGGGGGGGTGGGAGCCCTCGTCCAGCCTGTCCCTCTGGGACGCCACCAGCAGCTGTGGGGCCGAGAGCCTCGTCGGAGCCAGCCTGGATTCCAACAGTGGGTGTCCAACCAGAACCAGGTAAAAGGGAGCAACAGGGGTTAGGAGAGTTTAGAGATCAGCAGGTGTTTTTTTTTCATCTTGTGATTTAAAAAAGACAAAAAACATTAATTTATTGAGGGAACAAGCTGGTTAGTTATGATGACACAGATGAATGTAAACATGTTATTACCCCAGTAAAGAATTTATACAAAAATCCCCTCACACACCCTAAAAGAGGTCGACTAAATGTTACTAAAGGCATTAAAGCAACTAAACCAAGCTAAGTAACTGTTCAATAGAAACAAAATAAGAAACCCAAAACCAAAACAGACTAAAGGGACTTTTGACCGCTCTGACACATAAAAACTAAACAAACACTATCTGCTAATTTAAAATTAAAGAAAACTTCATCTTCGTAACCAAACAGCAGATTCAGGAAATATGGAAGTCATAAATCAGAGAAAATGAATTAGTAAATTATTTGATTACAGCCCTCAACACACACACACACACACGCACACACACACACACACACACACACACACACACACACACGCACACACGCACACACGCACACACACACACAAACACACACACACACACGTATATTAAAGAATATGAACAATATTAACTGTTATACAGTAAATAACATCTATCCAGTACTGTTTTATAGATTTCTATTGACTGTTTAATTCTCTGTCCAGCTATCTGAGGACCATGACCTCCCTGCTGGACCCTGCCCAGATAGAGGAGAGGGAGAGGAGGAGGCTCAAACAGCTGGAGCAGCAGGTATGAGGAGGCGCTGGCTGCTCAGGAACCTGGAGCTGGATGAAAAGGACCTTTTAATTGGGCCAAACTTCTGCAAACCTTTCCAGAGAGCGATCGAGGCCCAGATGGAGGAGCGCAGGAAGCAAAAGAAGGAAGAGGAGGCGAGAAGGAGACGGGAGGAGGAGGAGGAGGAGAGGCGGCTGATGCTGGAGAGGGAGATGCTGCAGAGGCAGTACGAGCTGGAAGCCCTGAAGAAGATCCAGAAGGTCAGGGGGCCAAAGCTGCACGAGCCTCATCATCTCTTTCCACCTCAGGGCTGAAACATTTTCTGATTAGTGGAAGAGACAGACACATTGTTTGGTTTTGTCCTCAGGAGCAGCCGGAGAGAAGCCAGACTGAGAGCAGCCAGCAGGAGACGGCCGTGTCCAGCAGTGAGTGTATTATTCTAATATTTACATTTAATTATCTTTAATCAGTTATAATAGTTTTAGAATTGTGATTAATATAGTATTATTAATACAAAAATATACAAGTTTCATTAAGTATGTTGTAGTGAAACGGTCACGTGGATTTATCACCAGTTTATTTACAATTGAATCTTTTAAAACAAGATAATTTACCATTTGATAATGTGTTTTCCTGATTAGTTATAGAAGAAGGAAACCTCTTGAATAACTTAAACTGGCTCACTCAGTCAGAAAAATCTGATTGAATCTGTTCAGGACAACTTGCTTCACAAGCTGCCTTTCACTTTCTAAGACTTCCTTTTTTTCATTTCAGTCTTTAGCAAATAAACTTTTTGATAATGTATTTTGTGTGTTCGGCAGTTTCCGGGCAGCTGGGGGATCTGGAGGATCCCAGCAGTTCGATTTCATACAAAGACACGGCCGTGCAGACAGGTATGGCCTTATTTGCTAACTCTGCTATCAGTGCTGCTACAGCTGGAACAGTGAAACCTCCAGGGGTGTTTTGTCATTTTGTCTAATCGGCTTCAGACCTCCTCTTCAAATCAGCATGACGTTGTTCTGTTATGTAGAAATACACGTTACAGGCTCATCATTTGAACTCGGGGCTCTCAAACCCCCTGCGTGTTCTTTAACTCATTGACTGCCAGAGTTTTTTGAGCATTTTGACAGATTTTTCAAGAGCCACAGAATAGTTTGTGCTATGACTATGTAAACACCGAACACACCAAAAGAAAGAGTAGACTCTCTTCTTTCATCAGGAAAAAAAAATTGTTTCTACCTTATTCCGTTCTTCCTTGACTTGCGTCTCACCGGCGACATGTTCTCTCATAGCGAACCGTTACCTTTTTCTTATTTGCCTACAGTCTATGCTCATCTCCCATCAAAAGTGGCACTGCCACCTAGAGGGTCAATTTGTTACTACATACTCTGTCTAGAAGCCTGATATTTACGGACAAGCTTTAGCAGATCGTCCCCCAAGCCACTCTCATTGAAAAACATAAAAGACGTATATAGACGTCTTTGGCAGCCAATGAGTTAATAAACCCTATTAGTCCTCAGATGAACCGGTTTTTTACTGGTCGTGTGTGCCCCCCCTGTGCAGAAGCAGCAGCCCCTCCCACCCCGGGAGCAGAGAGCGTCCAGGCTGCAGAGCTGGCCGCACAGCACCACCTCCTCCACCACCACCACCAACCGCCTCCGCCTCCCAGCAGCCGGGGCCGAGCGGGGAGGGCGGGGAAGGAGAAGGAGAACATCTGCGTGCCGGCCGGAGACGAGCCGGACCACCCGGCGGCTGTGAGGACGGAGAGGAGCCGGGGGGAGAAGAGGAGGCCGGACTGGAACACGCTGAGGTGGAGCCACTCCTGAGTCACAGAACGCATTGTGTGCTCGTTTCTGAAACTTTTACCTTAAAAAAAAAAAGAGTGTGAAATGATTTTCTAAAAAGATATTTCTCTCTGTATTCTTTTTTTTTTTACATAAATAATGAAAACAAACCTGGAAGACCTGGAGGATGTAAACCATGCTACTATTATTATCATTATTTTTTTATTATAAGTGAAATCCAAACCACAGAAAATCACAGAACGCATTATGTGCACGTTTCTGAAACTTTCCCCTTAAAAAAAAAAGTGTGAAATGATTATCTAAATTATTTTAATTAGAGACCTTTCTCTCTGTATTCTTTTTTTATTACGTAAATAGTAAAAACAAACCTGGGACACCTGGAAAATGTAAACCATGCTACTATTATTATCATTATTTTTATTATTAGGGAAATCCAAATCACAGAAAATGGAGGGGAGGGATTGTCTGTCTGCACAGGTCCCTTCTGTTTTTGCTTTTTAATGAGTATATTCAGACATTTCATCTGTTAACTGGAACGGCTTTTAACTTTGGAGTTTCCTCCTCCGTCTTTAAGGCCAAAGATACAAATTAAAATGGTTCATGTACTTTTCACAGATATCTGTAATTGATGATCTGTGATGCCTGATTTTTTTTTTTTTTAAAAAGGGGGGGTTTTGGTTTGTTCTTTTGGAAAGCTGATTGTTCAGTCTTTCAGATTTCTTTCAGAAGAAATTAAAT